CCCCGGCTCCTGGCCACCAGCAAATGGGAGCTGTGGAGCTGGTACTAGGGACAGTCCATGAAGCTTCCCTAGTGTCCAACCAGTTCTGCTAGAGCAAACTAGCCACCTTACTCTGAAAATGTAAATAATTTCTGAGAGCCAGTTAGCCACACTCAATTGGCCAAATAGCCACATGTGGCTAGTGTGTTGGACTCCCCGGGGCTACAGGGCTCTGGTGGCAGCTTCTGGGAGCCACACAGAGCCAGGGCAGGTGGGGAGATTGCCTTAGCCCCCTGCCTTATTGCCAATTGGAGCCACCAGGGTCCTTTTCCAACCAGGAGTTCTGGTTGAAAAGTGGATGCCTAGCAACCCTAGACCTTACCTGTGGTAAGAGAGCAGGACAGTGGCCTGGCTCATGCCTGTTAATGTACCCCAGTTCCCTTCCATCACAATACCTCTTTGCTGGTTCGTGTACCCCCAATCCTTTTTCATGCTGCTGCTGCTGGCCGGCCAACTGCTCCTCTTTCTGTAGCTGACTTTCCTTCCAAAGTGCAGTGTTTTGTGCTTGTCTTTATTGCATTTCAGAGCAGCTCTCCAGTGCAGGGAGGTGTGGGGTAATTAGGGATTGAGATGGGTAACACAAAGGGGTATAATGCATGGGCACGGATAGATGAGGCTTGAAGGCATATTGTGCCTGGATTATGTTTGTTTAGACAATTAAGTTTTCCTCAAGTTCCAATACCACAATTCATTTTACTCTCATTATGTTTGAGGTTGAGTGTTTACAAATGGTTAAAGCAGGGAAATGGGTTCCATTCTTTATTTCTGGCAGTGATTTGTTGTTGGAATTTAGGCAAGCCTCTTAACTGCTGTGTGGCTCAACTTCCCCATCTGAGATCTTTGGATGAAAGACAACATGGCAGTGTCATCAAGTATTATATTTCAATTTCCCCAGCTCTTCTCACATTGGTGACCCACACAGGAAGACATGTACTCATCAAGTATTATATTTCAATTTCCTCAGCTCTTCTTACATTGGTGACCCACACAGGAAGACATGTTGAGGGCTAAGTATGGGCTTCGGCACCTCTGGCCACACTATTCCAAGTGGATGGCAGGACTACAATCCTCCAAGATCATGTGCCGTGCTCTGCACCCCGAGTGGGCTGCTATGGCTAAAAAACAGCTGAAAGGCAAGAATCCAGAAGAACTGATATGGCACACACCAGAAGGAATTGTCATCAAGCCTTTGTATTCGAGAAGGGATACAGAAGGCTTTCCTGAGGAGCTGCCAGGAGTGAAGCCTTTCACTCGGGGACCATATCCCACCATGTACACTTACAGACCCTGGACTATCCGCCAGTATGCTGGTTTCAGTACAGTGGAGGAGAGCAACAAATTCTACAAGGACAACATTAAGGGTAAAGCGAACCTTTTTATCTCTGTCTGCATACATGTAACAACCTAGCTGCATTTCTGGTTTAGCCTAGCAAGGATAGTACATAGATCATGGAACAATTTAGTGTTGTTTCATAGTCCTAATGGGAGACAAATTTACTGTGGAAAACCTGCTAATTTTTTGTCAGTTTTAATTAAACTTTTAATATTAATTCATCCTGGCATTCTAAATTTATATATTATGCTGTGCATTTTTTTTAATTATATGTTATACTCAGAGTATAATAAGCAAGCCATTTTCCCAGCAATGACATTTTCAGGTTTTTGAGAGCAGGTTTTCCAATATTTCTTCAACATGTTAAACTTCCCAACAATTCTCTTCTATTAAATAAAATTAGATACTATGTTATAACATTTTGGATGTCAGAAGTAATTCAGCCACTGTCGAAATTGAACCACCTGGGCTCATTTAACCCCATATGTTTTCTTTCCAGTGATGCAACCTAAAACATTTTTGAGGAGAAGGGAAGTATAATTTTACCTGTCAAAGCAATAGTGGAAATCCCATTAACTAAAAAGTTCAAAACACAGAGTATTTATGGTTCACAAATTGTTCTTCAGAAAGGCTTTTTTGTATAAATGTTGTCCGCAAACTATACTTTTATCAATAAGCAAGAATACTTCTAGAGGTGTCACTGGTTAACCAGCAGCCCGCACTTCTCCCCTGTGGCATAGTGCAGTGGGCCTGAGTTGGCCAGAGTAGGCTACCGTGCCCATGACTGGGGGTTGCTCCAATCCAGCTGCAGCCTCTCTAACCTGGCTTGGCTAGAGCAGCTCCCTGCCCACCTCCATTTAAGCAGTTAACCATTAAACGTAAAGCTTAACCAGTTAACTGATTAAACAGGATTCCCTTGGTTCTTTCTGGTCTGGCTTGCTGTGTGACCTTGTCAGTCACATATTTTCTTCATTAAGTAGGTATATTTAATGCTTAACCCTAACAGGAATGTTTAATATTGCTTAATTATTTGGAAACACTCTGTGAAAAGCTCTACATAATTGCACTACATATTGTGGGGAAGATGATGCTCTCAATCTGTCCAGAGTCCCAGAATTGCTGGATATTGGTAAGAGGTAAAGACATTTACTTCAAATTTCTATCATTAAGCATTAGAGATAATATCCCACTGAGATGAACTGGAGGCAGTTCATGCCTCTCTGAAAACTTAATATTGAAACACAAAGAGCAAGCACTGGAGGAAAAGGACTCCTCCTCCAAACTTAGTGTTTTGACATGGAGAGGTTACATACTAGGGAAGTGAATGAGTAACTGGCTGCTTGGTAAGTATTACCCTTAACAGTAAAGCATCACCCTTAACAGGTAGTAGTTAATCGGTACACAGGACCAGCCTTCCATCCATGGCCTGCCATAGGTTGGGGGCTGCTCCAGATGGTCCCCCTGCACTTGGGGCCACAGGCTCCTGCTGCTGGCCCCCCACATGAGTTCCCGCAGAATCAGTTAACTGGTTAAACCTAAGGTTTAACTGGTTAACTAATTAACTGAGATTTTACATTCCTGTTATATAGCAGTGCAATGGGTACTAGTAGTACAATCCATTGGCTTCAGTAGAAGTTGGTATGTGTTAAGTGTAAGATGCTGAATCCAAATAACAGTTGACATACTAGCAGCTCCATGGTACTGCCTCTGTAACACAGTTACCATTCATAAATACTACGGCCAGAAGAGACAACTGTGATCATCATTCTAGTCTGACCTGCTATGCAACAAATATGACATAACACCCCACTACAGAGCTTGTTCCTGCTGCCCAGTGTAACCAGGACAGTTATGCAGTGTCTAGGACATTTTATTCCCTTGATGCCATGTCAGCGTTTGGCTCTGAAAGTTATTTTTTCATTTTCTATGACTACAGCCTTGGAGCTGCATTGGTGCACTTTCGAAACGAGATTCTTTACCATAGTAAGAGTTAGAAACTTTTTTGAATGAAAATTTAAATTCCACAGAAACTAATAAACCTCCAGAGAAGTTTGAAGCTAGCCTGTGACACTACATATTGTATCCGTTTAGACCCTGATTATATAAAATAGTTAGTTGCCATTTCTAAATCAAGCCTGTGCTACTATTCTAATTAACTTGTTTTCATGAATTTAGCTGGCCAGCAAGGATTGTCAGTTGCCTTTGATCTGGCAACCCATCGTGGCTATGATTCAGACAATCCACGCGTTCGTGGTGATGTTGGAATGGCTGGAGTTGCTATTGATACGGTTGAAGACACCAAGATCCTTTTTGATGGAATTCCTTTAGAGAAGATGTCAGTTTCTATGACAATGAATGGTGCAGTAATTCCTATCTTAGCTACATTCATTGTAACTGGGGAAGAACAAGGAGTGCCTCAAGCCAAGCTTACTGGGACAATCCAGAATGATATACTCAAGGAGTTCATGGTCCGAAATACATACATTTTCCCTCCAGAACCATCAATGAGGATCATTGCAGACATTTTCCAGTATACATCAAAGGTATTTAATTTACTTCTATTATATTATTTATGCAGTGCTCCCCATTTGTAGAAGACACTTTACAGAATAAAGAGAAATAAACCATGGCAGCTACTAACAAAACAGGATAGGAAGTAGGGATGTTAAATTTCGATTAATTAACTAATCAAATAGTCAATGGGGCTCTTGTGCATTTCAAAGATTGAGACGCAGTGTGGAGCACGGGGCCAGCAGGGAGTGATTGAGGCAGCAAGGGAGGGGAAAGTGACTAGTCGACTAGTGCTTTTGCTTATTGGATAGTTGACTATTGATATTGACTTATCAGATAGTTGATTGGTCACTTTACTATAATCCTTGTACTTCCTAATAGGGATGTAATCTCATATTGCAATAGGGCATGTAGATCTTAATCATTTGGGGAAAATTAGATATTAATCACTATCTAAAGATAGCAAGGAAAAAGTGCAATTTAGGAAGGATGTTCATGGTGCACAGGAAAAAGCTTGATCAATGGGGTTTAAAAGGCTGTTTTGTGCCTAGAGGTCAGCATGGAGGAAGACTAAGGAAGGTGACATGGGCAGATTATGTAGGCTGGGCCAGAGTGCTGCAGAGACTTGAATGCAAGGAGAAGTTTGATATTTTTAAATGCAGGAGAAGAGGGAGCCAGTGCAGGGATTGACAGAGATTGGTTTTAATGATAGATGAGAGAGACTATTTTGGCTGTACCATTTTAGATAGGTTTGAGGGAGTTAGTGTGACGAGACGAAAAGATGATGATTTTTATAATCATTGTGGGAAATAATGAAAACTCAACAACTAATTAGTTGTTGGGCAGAACTTTAGAAATAATTTAGCTATATTAAGGAGGAAAAGCACAGAATATTAAGATGGTGAATGGAGTATGAATATCTTAAGATTTGTCCAGAAACAACTTTGCTTTGATTTGTTATTTACAATGAGTGGAGTTGTTGTTAAGTATTATGGGCTAAATTTGTAAAAGGACTTGGGCATCAAGCTGCTGTTCCAGACACCTAAATCCCAGAATCAGGCTCCACTGGGATTCGCAAGGGCTCTGCTCACTGCCCCTGAACCATGTAGCAATCTAAAGTTGTGCAGCACCTAGGGATGTAAGGGAGTAGTTGACTATTCGCATCCTCTCCCTCACCCCCTCTGCTTTAAAAGCCAATTCCCCCTCAGCACTGTCTCTGCAGTGCAGGGGCAGAGGGGGACACAGGACTACATTTAAAGTTCAGAGCTGCAGCGGGGTCCAGCAGCCCCTGTTTGTGGGGGGTCCCCCCCCACTTGCAGCCACTGATACTCGCTTCCATCCCTAGTCTAGAATTGTGGGAAAATTGATGCTGCAGTGGCCGATCTTCTGGTGTTCGATTTAGTGGGTCTAGTGAAGACCCCATCAACACCGGTACTCCTCACTGTTGCGGGGAGTAAGGGAAGTCAGAGGGGGCATTTCTCCTGTTGACCTCCCACAGTGGGAATGGCGCTGAAGTTCAGCTTAAGGTATGTCAACTACAGCTATGTTGTTTGCCTTCTGACCTTCCTCCATATTATAGACCTGGCCTTAGTCTGTTTTGCCTTTGGAGCTTGATCCAATAAGTGTGTTCAGAACTCACTTTACTGAATCTGACCTCTACAGACAAGCTTACATAAAATGGACAGAGGTGAGGGGGATTATATCCATCCTCGTAATTTTATCTCAGTTGTGAGGGTACTTACTTAGGATGTGGCAGACCCTTAATTCAGGTCCCCTCTCCACCTGAGTGGAAAAAGGAATCTGAACAAGATTTGCCACCTTTGCGGTGAGTGTATAGCCACTGTGGATCAATAATGAAAGAATGGCTGGGCCAAAGAGAGAGCAAGCATGAGAGAGACTTCTGCCTACATTTCTTCACAGGCCTAATAAGACAATTATCTGATTCTGCCTTCACTGTTTTATTGCTTTTTTGTTTACTCAGCACATGCCAAAATTTAATTCCATTTCAATCAGCGGGTATCATATGCAGGAGGCAGGAGCTGATGCCATTTTGGAATTAGCTTATACTATTGCTGATGGATTGGAGTACTGCAGAACTGGACTAAAGGCTGGCCTTACCATTGATGAATTTGCACCAAGGTAAGTAAAACAAACTCCCAGGTACTTAGCTGCCTTTCAGAAAATGAATAGAGATTCTAGGCTTTAATTTCATGTTTGGACTCTGACATTCTAAATTGTGCTACTAACAAAGGTGATATCCATATCACTGGCCAACTTTTAAATTAGTGTAATATTGCAGTGGTGCGGAGTAAAATCTGGAATGACAGACTCTTAGGGTATGTCTAGACTGCATCCCTGTGTTGGCTTAATTTGCATAAAATTGGCCGCCGTTTTTGCCGACTCAGCACTTTGTCGGCAAAAAGCAGCAGTCTAGAGGGGGATCTGTCGAGAAAGAAAGCCTTTTTCGACAGATCCCTTATGCCTCCTACAAGGAGGTTTACAGGATCTGTCAAAAAAAAAAGCTTTCTTTCTCAACAGGTTCCCCACTCGGCTGCTGCTTTTTGCTGACAAAATGCTGAGTCTGCAAAAACAGCAGCCATGTTTATGCAAATTAAGTGCGGGATATTTAAATCTCTGCTTCATTTGCAATGTTGACCTGCGAAATCTTCATCCCTCTGCTGACAGAAGGATGCAGTCTAGACATACCCTTAGATTTAATCAACAACTATTGCAGCCGTCTGGTGTCAGGGAGGGCAGCTTTAAGCAGTCACTGCTGTCAGATTGCTGATAGCCCTCAAATGATCCTGGGCTAGAGCCAAGTGGAGTGAGAGGGCTCCCCTACCAACAACCATCTTGCAGCTCACTGGCCTTACTCGTGACAACTAGGTGACATTACGCAACCAACCAACTCCTAAGTGAGGACTGCCCCACCCTCTTTCCAAATCATGTATAAAAATGTTGAACAATACTGGTCTCAGCACAGATCCTTTTGGTCCCTACTATTTCTGTCTCCACTGTGAAAACTGTCCATTTATTCCTACCCTTTGTTTCCTGCCTTTTAACCAATTTATGAGAGGACCTTCCTTTGCTTAGTTTACTTAAGAGTCTTTTGTGGGGAACCTTGTGAAAGGCTTTCTGAGAGTCCAAATACAATATATCCACTGGATCACCCTTGTTCACATATGTTGAACCCTCCCCCCCCTCAAAGAAATCTAATGGATTGTTCAGGCATGAGAACCCTAACATATCATGTTAATCTGTGTATCTGAGAACTCTGTTCTTTTCTATAGCTTCAACCAATCTGCCTGATAATCAGGCTTATTGGCCTACAAGTGCCAGGATTGCCTTTTGAGCTATTCTTAAAAAATCAGTGTCAGTTTAGTTCTCCTCCAATCTATGAATAATGTGAAAAAAGTGAATAAGGAAGTGTTGTTTATCTTTTGATATGACCTAAGAACCAGGGGTCACCCAATGACAATAATAGACAGCAGGACTACAACAAACAAAAGCAAGAGCGTCTTTGCACAGCACAGTTAGCCTATGGAGCTAGTTGTGTTGTGAATGCCAAAAGTATAACGGTGTTCAACAAAGAATTCAATAATTTCATGAGAATAAGTCCATTGGTGGCTCTTAGTGAAGATTGGCAGGGTTGCAACCCCATGCTCTGGGTGTTCTTAAACCTCTGACTGCTAGAAGCTGGGAATGAGTGATGGGAATGGATCACTTGAAATTGCTCTGTTAAAGTCATTGTTTCTGAAGCATCTGGCACTGGCCACTGTTGGAAGCCAGGATACTGAGTTAGATGGATCATTGATCCGTATGACTGTTTTTCTTCCTTGATGTAATAGAGAATTCTGGGACCTATCTTTATTGCTCATTATCCTGTACAATTAAAGTCCTGGACATGTGCTCTTATTGCAGACTGTCTTTCTTCTGGGGAATTGGTATGAACTTCTACATGGAAATAGCTAAGTTAAGAGCTGGGCGACGGCTTTGGGCTCAATTAATAGAGAAAATGTTTCAGCCCAGGGATCCCAAATCTCTTCTTCTAAGAGCTCATTGTCAAACCTCAGGATGGTCCCTTACTGAGCAGGTTGGATTTTGAATTTTAAATGATTTTCCATGAATGTGATCATTTTAGGACTAAATCTACTGATTCATGCATACTAATACTCCTGCCTGTCTAATGCTTTATTGAGACAAGCAGTGTAGTAGCTCTAATAGCTTTGAACTATGTGATTTTCTCATTTACATACTGCACAGGATGACATTGTGACTAAGTTAAAAGACAACAAAATAAAACATTTACGTATAAAAAATCTGAATTTCTTTCATCTGGAAATGTTTTCTATCTGACATAATCATATCCTACTTTGCATATCAGAAATTTAACAAGCAGCCGCCATAAAATATACTGACCCAACTAGTATGATGCAGCCCTGCAAAAAAATGATATCTCAAATGAATTTAAAACAGTTAGTTTAAACTAGTGACAGCTACATATTATGATGCCTTATATACCCTACTGGCTAGATAGAATAGAGCTATTGTTTAAACATTGGCCAAGAGTTGCTAGAATGGGCAGAATATAAGGGCTTTGTCTAAACAAGATTGCTGTACCACTATAAATTAGATTGTTTTTTAAATCTTTGGTCTATGTCTACACTCGCGTCTTCTTGCGCCAGAAATATGCACCTGAGGCTAAGCGTGAAATATCGCTGAGCCTCATTTGCATATCTAATGAGTCGCCATTTTTCTGAAAGAGGCTCTTGCACCAGAAGGAGCTGTCTACACTGCCCCTTCTTGCCAACAAAAACCCTCTTGTGCAATGCCTTTATACCAATTATTTTTCAGGAAGAACAGCATTGTGCAAGAGGGTTTTTGTTGCTTAAGAAGGGGAAGTATAGACAGCTCCTTCTGGCGCAAGAGCCTCTTCTGCAAAAATGGCGACTCATTAGATAAGCAAATGAGAGGTCATCAAGTCCAGTCCCCTGCCGTGAGGGCAGGACCAAGCACCATCTAAATTATCCCTGATAGATGTTTATCTAACATGCTCTTAAATATCTCCAATGAGGGAGATTCCACAACCTCCCTAAGCAATGTATTCCACTGCTTAACCTCCCTGACAATGGCATCCTTCCTTCATTGTTTCTTTAGCCTTTCCAGTCTTATAGACTAAAGAGAGGAAAATCCTTATGTATAAAATTGAAATTAATTTTTTATAGTTTTGTCTACATCTATTCACGCTACCATTGCCTACGATCTAGGGATGTCAACGTGTAGTTGAGTACACGATTAACCAATAAATCTGGTCTTATCGGTTAACCTTATTAACTAAACGCACTCCCTCCCCTTGCTGCCTCTGTACCAGAGGCAGCAGGGGAGAGGCAGAAGCCAGTGCTATGAGCAGCCTCTGTCCACAGAAAGCTTGCCCCCTCACTCCCTGTGCAGTCAGGGTCTACTGCCACATCGCAGCCTCTGTCCACTGTGGGCCCAGGCTCGCCACAGACAGAGGCTGTTCTGTGGGATGCTGGCGTACATCCTGTCTGCAGGGAGCTCGGATCTCTTGTGGACAGGTGCTGGTGCCGCCCCATACTGCTGCCTCTATGTGAGACAGTAGTGCAGGGCAGCAGGCAGGAGCCAGTCTGCATAGGGAGCTGGTTTTTAAACCAGCTCACCTCACGAGCTGGCTCCCACCTGCCACCCCATGCTGCTGCCTCTGATATGGAGGCAGCAGTGTGAAGTAGCAGGGGGGCTCCCGGGTGTAGGGCTGGGAGCACATTGGCTGCCAGCCCTGCCCCCAGGGGCTATCAAATAGTCATGTAACTGAAAATAATTTGTGAGATTAAATGACTATTCAGTTAATCACTATCTAATATCCCTACTTAGATCACCTCAATCTGTATTATCTGTGGAGAGGTAGAGCGGTGCCCGATTTTTAAATGAGTTATGTTGAAGCTTGACAAACTATGAATTGAGAAATTCTATTTGTATTAATTCTGTGGTATTTATATAATAATTTTTATTTGCTTACGTTCATCATACATGATCATTCTGAGACAGCTAATTAAACACAATCTTTTCAAAATCCTGTTGCTGTCACTTCTCCAAATGAAAAACTACTATTGCCTTTTTTGTGTTATGGACAAATACATTCTCAATATAAACCAAGTGAAAAAGTGATGTATAGATTCAAAATGTTCAATAGTTTCAAAAGCATTCAAAGAAAATAGTAAGGGATAGTGTGTAGAAAGGAAAACTGGAGGTTGGAATTCCTTAGATTCTTTTTCTAGCTCTTTCTGATGTGATGGATGACTTTTCACAAATAATTTATTTTTTCTGTAAAATAAGCATAACAGAGAAGCTTTATTAACTGACCTAAACCAGTGGGGGGGAGGGAGAGGGCGGCTTAGGCCCTCTGATTAAATATACTGTGAAAGTGCATCCATTCAATATACTGTGAAATGAATCTACCTAGAAATGTGAAATCAGAAACAGGTTTGTCGTACAAATTATCAGACATAATGAGATGCCACAAGAGATTAGAAGGATTTTGTTTTATATACTTGGCCAGTTTAAATGGCTGATAGCCAAATTCTAAAGATATATTTGTTTATAGAGCTTCGTCTTCATTCTTTCAGTAGAAGGTTCCTTTTATGTATCAGCTTGGTTGCATTCATATCACTGTTCTTTTCTTTTTCTAACTTGGCTGGTTTTTGTATAATATTAATTTTTATGACCCAGTTATACCAAAAAACTAACACTTTTTTCAGTGCATTAGTCTGAGGATGAAATAATCATCTCAGTTACATGGCATCCACTTCATGCTTCAGAGATTTCCTTTTGCTTTTAGGATCCCTACAACAATGTTATCCGTACTGCAATTGAAGCAATGGCAGCAGTGTTTGGAGGTACTCAGTCTTTGCATACAAATTCATTTGATGAAGCCTTGGGTTTGCCTACCGTGAAAAGTGCTCGCATTGCTCGGAATACACAGATTATTATACAGGAGGAGTCCGGTATTCCTAAAGTGGCAGATCCATGGGGGGGTTCCTACTTAATGGAATCCCTTACCAATGACGTCTGTGAGGCCGCTTTAAAGGTCAGTTGTGCAGGTTTTAAGTTGCAGAGTCATTGATGGTTTAAGAAATGCCCTCTAAGTAGCTATTTGATACAATAGTAGATTAATTTATGTTTAAATTTCCTACCATTAAAGCCCAAAACCAACAATGCAGTTAAGCACGAGTATAGCTTTAAACATGAGTAGTCCCACTGAATTCAGAGACACTACTCACTACCTAAAGTTATAGCTATATTTAAGTGGTTTGATAGGTTGAGACCTAGGAGAATACACTATCTGTTTGGAATTAAACACATTCTAAAAGAAAATATTTACACACTGGACAAATGAAACAGACCTGGAGATTTTAGGTGCCTTCTGATGGGCTCCTGTTTGGGAGCC